TGTTACAGTAGTGAGGTGTCTAATGTAGACTTAATCAAGCAAATTCAATTATTGGAGTCCAATGAACCAGATATTATACTCCACGCCATTATTGTCCATATATTTAGGTTTATAAATGCTTAAAGTTTTTAAACCCATTTCATCTACTTTTGAAATCTAAATGTTACTTTATTAAATATAGTTATTAAAGTTAAAGAATTTCATCGGATGATTATGTAATTAGATTGCCTAATAAATTAAAGTATTTCCTAAAAAGTTAAAACTTTATTCCATATTTTTTATCTAAATTGTTTTTACTTGGACTGTTTTCAGTTGCAAACTAGAACAAACCAGATCAGACCAGACCAGACTAGTATTAACAATAATAATGATGATGATAATATAATACGGAGTAAATTATAATAAAAACAATAACAAAATAGTAACCATACGAATAACTTGTAGGGAAATTAAAGTTTGCCATTTAGGCTAAAATATCCCCTTTAGAGTTTAGACTATGTTCTAAAAATCGTAGGCGTCCGACTAGTCCTCGCCTAAGAGCTAGGCGGTGGCCGGACGCCCCGATTTTCGTCTAGGCACTGCGACTAATTGGTTTACCGTCTAGGTGAATTAGTCGGCCGTCTATATATGGCGCGTAGTTGCCCGTCCAGAGCGCCTAATCGCCCGCCTAGGCCGTCTAGATTCGCTGAACACTACTTTACTTTTTATTTTTTTTCCTAAGCGATATAAGTACTTTAACTTTAGACACAAATATAAAGAATTGAAGTTGTAAATTAAGATAATAACTCTATATGTTTGTATGTATACCTAAATTTTATTATTATTTATATTTATAACATAATGAAGTTAAGTGATTAGTTATCATATATTACGTATGATTCAATGTGATAATTCCATCATTCATGTTTGTTAATGTATGTATATATATGTATTTTATACACACAAAAAATACAATATTACTTGACATATTTATGCAAAAATATAAATAAAAATGCAATTTCTACGTCTCCAACTAGACGCCGCCTAACCGTCTAGGCGCTGGGCTGGTGCCCGTCCGACTGGGGCCTTTTAGAACATTGCCTTTAAATAATTTAAATTTATTTATTTGGAGCTATGGGAGGAGGCAGAATGATGATGGAATTTTACTGTTTGTGATCATATGAAATTTCCATCGAAAGAGGTAGTTCTTTGACTGGCAAGCTAACTTGACAGCATCACAAGAAGCTCTCACGCTCATCTTCTTGTTCATCATCTCCCATTCGATCATCACCCTACAACTGAACCTGTTCGATAAAGCGACTGCCCCACTACCCCCGTAGGCGTCGGGATCCACGATCCGGAGCACCACCTCCCCGCTGATCCTCCTGCATGGGTTAGTCCACGGCGGCATGCAATCCAACCAGCTGCATTCCGGCTGCCCGACCATCTTCTTGAAAGCGGAATTGGCCAGTCTCACTTTGTTGTTCATGTCGGAGACGACCACCGGATGATGCTCCGCCTCCGCCTCCTTCTCTACCTCCTCCGCGGTCTTCAGTATCACCTCCTCCAATGTGTCTGATGAGCTCTCTTCCTCTACCACGTCCATGCAGCCAACGAAAATGGTGGACCGAACAGGGCGAACTGGCTTTGGCGTGATCACGCCGGGTACCCTTTCCGACCGGCAGAGGCCCAACTGCGGCATGAAATCAATTTCCAGAGGAACCCGAACAACTTCCCAGTTCAAATTTATTCTTGATGTCCCCGTCGAGTCTTGCCTGGAAATATCCAGCCCACACGGAGAAAGATTCTGGTGGGCTGGGATCGGATCAAATAACCCGGCCGGGTAGTTATATGGAGGAGGAGGAGGAGTACCACCGCGCAAACTAACCTTCTTAAAGGGAATAGGGAGTGAAAAGGTGGAGAAGCCTGATATCTTCCGAGATTGGGTCGGTCTAGCCTGCAAATGAGGCCAAACATTCCGGAGGTAAGGCGAATTTATGATTCTCTCTGGAAATCCATTGACAGAACTAGAACCTTCGCGGGCATCACCTCCGACTCCGGCTCCGGCGAACAGTGTAAGCTCAGGCTTGGGGGAGATAGGCCTATAGCTCGCCAAAATATCATCTTTACTACTGTTGTTAGCGTTATTAAAGGAACCACTGCTCCCTGCGGAGAAAGGGTTAACACCATCCATGGTACTTTATTATGAGTAATTTATAGAAAGGGATGGATGAGATTGTGATATGTTATATTTCCATCAAGTGATGACATGTGATGAAGAAATGCACGTATATATACTTGATTTGCAAAATTTCCTATTTATTTGCAAAATTTCCTATTTTGTTTGTCTCGAAATGGTTTTCCACTTTCTATTTTAGGTATGTAAATAAGAATAAAGTGACAAATTTACTCTTACTTTTACTTTTTCTTCATTAACTTAAAGACATCTACTTTTAGAAAGATGGACAAAAGTGTAAAAAACAGACATCATTTATTGTCATTCCTTAATCTTTGTGCCGGTCAAAGTTTGCAATTCAATTCGAGGCGGAGGGAGTAATAGGGAGTATTAAGTAGGGTGAGGTGGGATGGGGTAGGTCGTAGGGAGTCAAAATGAAGAGAGGGCGGGAACAGGAATGATATACATGTGTTGAAGAAGAAACATTTGATAGAGATCAGTGACATTTGGAGAGGGATAGTGAGGGAAACGTGCTGCTTACTTGAGAGCATTCTTTACACTTACTTTTTGATCGATCATGTCGTTTTTCTCCTTCATGTTTTTCCTTCTCATCTTCAATCGGCGCTCTACTGACTCGACTCTGACTCACGCCCCTGACTTGACGTCACTCTGAACTCTGATGGGTGAATATACCGTGACACTAGTTTATTTGGTTACTAATTAAGATCAGTCTTTTAGGGTATTATTATTATTATTTTTGTTCCAAGTATTAAATACATACGTGTTGTTTATACTAAGTATAATTTTATTTCCACTCAAGGATTTTTCCATACTTTCATTTTTTGCCAACAATATTAAATTCTGACTAATGATATGGAAAAATGACACAAATATTACCTCTAGCTTTGTGAAATACTCCGTACATGAAGTGACTAATTTTTCTTATTGTGATTTATATCCAATCCCTTCCCCGTCCCCAAGCCCACCCATGCCCATCCGTTGTGTAAAACTGCCACAAAAAATCACCGCCGAAAACCATTGTCGGAAAAGTGATCGGGATGCTCTTTTTCGTGCTAATCTGTGTCAAATCCGTGTCAATCCTGTTATTGTTTATAGTGTTTATGTGTTGCACTTCATCAAGACAAACACAAATAATATGCTCAGCTTTACCACTTAGCTTATGTATGGAGACAAGTGAACTACACGGTAATGTCATGTTTGGTGTAAGATCCATAAAAAGGTAAATTGTCGTTGAAAAGGCACGGTAGACATGTACTTGGTGTCTACCGAACTTGAACTGGCTAATATATTCACAGTGGTCCTGGATGAAGAATATTAATAGAAAGAGTACAAATTCTCATTTTGTTAATGTAACCGTTTCTAGCAAGCCTAAAAGTTTGAATTTTTTTTCTAAACTGATCTATTTTTAAAAAGCAATCATTAACGTGATCAGAATTCAGAAGCAACACGTTTTTCATCTCTTATGCTTTTGTTTTATGCATTGTTATACTCCGTATTTACTAAAGTGACTCTTCACGCACCATATGTTGTGAGATATGGCGTGTCAATGATTAACAGAAGTGGGCGAAAAATTACTAATGGTTTTTAGTTTGTTCAGTGTTTATGTTTTTGTTTCTTCTTTTAATATGTGTTGTGAAATGTATGAGCCCGTTTGCTATTCACAGACAAACAAGTGTGTACAAATAGCAAACTTGATTCATTCATATACAGTTTCCGTTTTTGACCTCATGTAAGGGCGAATCATGTCCTGCTTCTGGAACCAAACTGGGTAGGTAAAGAACCATATTGGTTGCTCTTTAATTCAGGTCAAGATTTAGGGAGTGTTTGAGATTGCTTCTAACTAAAAAGTGGTTTTTTGAAGTGATTTTAGAGAAAATGTTTAATGGTAAAAGTTAAAAGTGTTTGAGAAAAATGTTCTCTTCAAAAAGTAAAAGTGAGCAATGTTTGATAAAATAAGTGATTTTTGGGTAATAGAAAAAAGTGAAAAGCACTTAAAGCTCATGTCAACCTGTTTTCGGCTTTTAACTTTTAAATGCTTAATTTAAGTAGAGATTGTCACTTAAAAACACTTATTTCAATTTTTTTAATTTTTTGGATTGGCCTGAGTATTTTGGGCCATTTGAGGTGGTTTGGGGGGTTGGGGGTGGGAGGGAGGGTTAATTAGGAAAAGGGAAAAAAAATTGACTCGAGACCCGACCCGGTCTTGGGCCCACCTATTCAGAACCGGCGGCCCGCCCGGGCCTAGGCCCGACCCGGCCCGAATCCACCCCTAATTTCAGCATGTAAGCTAGATGGGTTCACACCGTTTCCAGTTCCTCCATAATAGCTTTAGACTGGGGTTCTTTTTTTTTTTTGTCTTTTATTAATAGGCTATTAACTGACCTGTAACTCACCGGCAGTTGACATTTTTGTCCCCCTGGTTAAGGCCTAAGGGTAACCATTGGACTGGGGACCTGAAGTAGAACTGGACTAGTTCCAGTTGCTTTTCTTTGAAGATAGTATCTTTATGCTGGCTCTTCAAGTGCGGCCTTTGTTGTTATTCATTGCTGTGTTCTGGTTAGCCTTCTGAACAAAGCTTCTTCATCTCAGTGGAACTCGATCACATATTAGAAAAGTTTTTCTCAGTAATACCCCAACTATATTTTGTAGTAATAGCTGATACTTCTCATTGTGGATGCAATATATTTTTCGACAAACACATTGTTCTGTAGCAAATGTGTTCCAACTTTTTTTTGCAAGCATAACAAACCAAGTAAGGTGCACTGGTGCAATACTAATTCGACACAAAGTCACAAACTATAGAAGTTAATAGTAATTCTTATGTGAGCACAATACCAGTTCAAAGATTACAAATTACCTATCAACGCACAAAAATTCAAATATTTAACCATTTAAAAGTGAATACTTGTGACAAATTACTGCCTAAAAATCATACATGTAAAGTCTATTAGTTGACTATTACTATGTACCCAATACTAATTCTAACGATTCAAAATCTGGTAAATACAGTAAAATACTAAAATTTAAACATATTAATTTAAACAAAACACTAAATAGATTAATTATGTTAATTCCTCGATGAAATATATGTATAGAGCTACAATTCAATCATATCTATACATGTGCATAATAGGGGTGAGTGCAGCAAACCAAGTTACACGTTAGTTGGTCAACTAACACCATTTCTCCCGATCGAGGTTTTAGTTCTCCTGAAAACTGATGGAGCTATATTGAATCATCAGATTCGTCTGAATCACTTCTCTCACCAGCGGTGCCAGCATCAGGAACACCGAGTTTTGTTGCATGCTTGGTTGCTGCATTCTTATTAGCAGCGCGTGCATTTTCTTCACCGTCTTCCTCTTGTTCAGCCACTTCCACATGTGATCACACAATCAAGGACAAACAAATGACAAAAAGAAGGCTTGATACACAATCCAGAAAGAAACATGCATCTCCAGATCTCCTTTCTCTTCAGTCCGTGAATGGTGGACAATTTCTAGTTACATCAACCAAAATCTAAACAGCAAATCTCTATATTCGAAAGCAAAACAGAAGTGGGCAATAAAAACTTGGCAACGTGCATTGTGCAGCATACAAATTGATGACAGTGGTTGTCATTCTCAGTGTGAAAATCAAATTTAAAAGTTGAAGCCAATAGAAATGTCTGTCAAAATTGAGGTACCCAACACATTTCCCTCCATGTACTTTTGCTTAAATTTCCATTTGTTACATTTTTTACTTTTTTATCTCTAGAAGATAAATACATTTGCTTTTAAGTGCTCGCTTGGTAACTCTGTTTCAATGGCGGAAACCGTTGAAACTCAGAGCACGATTTTTGTTACCTGTATATGGTTGCAACAAGAGGAACGATGGAAGCTAGGCTGGAAATTTTGGAACGCGAGCTGGCGAAGAGTCGCGAGAACATGGAGCGCGAATTAGAGAAGAATCGCGAAGAAGCCAAATGAAGTGGTGAAGAGTTACGCGAACTAATTCTGCAGCGGAATGATCGCAAATCACGCGAAAGATCAAAAACATCCAGAAAAAGTGCGAGAACTGACAGTAGCGACTCATCTTCATCTGAAGCGATGCGTAAAGAAGCTCAGCAAACTCGCGATGAGTTGCGCGAGTTACTGCAGCGGAGTGAGAGCCAGTCACGCGGAAGATCTAAAACAACAAAACGAAGCAAGAGACATGACATTAGCGACTCTTCTTCGTCTTATTCAGGTAATCACCACTCTTCTTCGCGAAACAATAATTATAGCAAGTGGATGGAGAAATCTGGAAGGAAAGTAGATTTACCAGTATTCAATGGGGATGAAGTGTACGGATGGAAAATTAAGATGGAACGATACTTCCAACTCAATGCTATTGCGGAAAAACATAAGGTTAGAGTAGCAGAAGAAGCCAGGGAGGAAAGGGCGTTAGACTGGTTCCAATGGTGGGAAATTGAAACGAGAGAAAAAGAATTGGGAAGTTCTGAAGGAAGCGACAATTCGGAGTTTCCAACCTACACGCAGGTGGAAGACAGAAAACCGGAAATCATCGCAGTCGCGCACAGTGTCTACCAGTTTGCAGGTCTCAGTTCGCAGGGCTCAAAAGCGACTTATCTCTATTCGCAGGTTCCTCACCTTACACCAGGTTCATCAGCTTCAAGAACCTTTGACCTAGGCGCATCAGAAAAGGGATCCCAGGGGATTCCACCAACAACAATGTACACAGAACTAAACCCGGTGGGCCCATCAGTTACAGAATCAGACCATGAAGAGGATGCTAATCAACCTATGAAAGGTTCAGAAATATTTAAACCAGATCATTGTTTACCAGACAATATTTTGGAAGGGCTGAATAAGATTGATTGTTACAAATTTGATGTTGTTATTTCTAAGAAGTGTATTCAAAAGGAGTTGGGAATAGGAATTATTGAGAATTGGAGGGAAAAGGTTGATTATGGTACTGATGATAATGCTGAAATGTTTGTAAGGATTCACAATGATCTTATTCCTGGTCTAGTACCTGATGCATTATTCATGGGTAAAAGTTTTAGGGAAATACCAGTATATTGTATACCTGTTCAAGATAGAAGTGTAGGTTTTGATTACAGGTCTCACATGGCAAGTACTAGTCCAAGGCTCAAAATACTCAGGAAAAGAGATAAGGACTGGGAAGATGACAGTATGTTGAGCACAGTTGTTTTTAAGAGATGGATGAAGATTTCTGTTGCTGATACTGACAGTCAGGACCAAGTTATTGTGGGTAAAGATGTGGTAATATTCCAGGGTACCTTAGCAAGGCAATTGCGGAAGAATGATCCACAGATTTGTGCATTTGAAGGATCAGTCTTCACTCACTCCAATGTAAAATCTGGGATGGCAGTTAAGGGCTGCAGTTTGATGCTTTCTGCAAGTTGGGACTCCTCTAATTCTGGACTGAGATGGGTTGATGAGTGTACTCTTAACAGCATAGTTGAAGGAAAAGTTCAAAAAATAAAGGAATTTGATGAGGTCTTCAATTTTAAGAATCTGGAAACCCTTCTGTTCAAATTTAATCTGGTTTGTCAAATTACTCCATTCATTAGTGATACAAGCTATTGGTTCCTTGAGCTTCCTTTGCTGAAAAATAAACTAGAGAGCTTTGCAAAAAGTATGCCGGTGGATAGTGGATGGAATCAGAAGACTACTCTTACAATACAGGCATGGCCAAGTGGAGAACTAAAGCCAAGAGATGAATGGGAAAAAGTGTGGAAGAATCTTAAGAATGCGGGTTTCTACCAAAGTATGGGCAAGAACAAGGTGCCTATTCATACCGTACTAGTCTCAGCTACCCTACTGGGAACGGAGGAAAACTTGATTGATATGAAAACTATCAACACAGAATACTTGTACTATGAAGCAGGGGATTGTTCAAAAAGAAAAAGTGTTGGAGTCATTGGAAATGGAGCAAAATTAAATAATGAATTACTAAGTAATCTCAGAAACTTCATCAATCGTGCCCTGAGTTTTATAGCGAAGGATTCAGCTACTGGATATGGTTTCCTCATTCTTGATACTGAAGGAAAATGGAATGTCCGAGCCATGATGACTTCTCAAGAGTGTGGTGCAGAAAACCTCTGTGAAGTACCCAGATCTGTAGGTATCCAATTCCAGGAGTGGCAGCCAGTTTTTTCTGCTATTATTGAGGAACTGCCCGATGAGAATGGTTCTGTAGGGGTTGTAGCACTTGGTGCTGGCAAGGTTGTAGTGAAGCATCGTGAAACCATGCCCTTGCCTCAGCTGCTCACTATGGTAAAAGTGATGGAAATGGTTCAGTTCATGAAGTTCAGGGTCCTGAAATTTGGAAGATACTGGGAAGGACGAGGCGCAAAGATGACGAACAAGCGGTTCGTCAAGACTGTCTCCTATGACCCACCTTGAGGACAACGGGGTTGTCAAAGGGGGAGTAGTGTTAGGGGCCTACATAGAATAATAAGAAATAAGAAGAGTATTAGAATTAGTATAAATAGAGGTGGAGGGTAGAATAGAAAAGGAGGTTGGAATTATTTATTGGGTCTGGGACTTGGAGAGTTTGGCACTCTTAAACTGCCTTTGTCTTTCTTTCTCTATTTTCTGTAATACGAATCCTTTCAGTTGTACGCACATCTCTATTCTTCATCTTGTTTCTTGAATTTACTGTGAATTAGCAAGATACCTAACAGCGGATCAGCCTTATTAGCTAGATTTTTTTAAAAACACTATTTTTTTATTTATTTACACACTAAATTTTTCAATTTGCTGAATTGACTGGAAAGGACAATTTTAGTTTTTTTTCATATAATGTTTTATTTACTTTACTAATAAAAAATACTTCAAATGAAACTTTTTCAAAATTCAACAAATTCAGCCAACTCAGCTACAACTTCAACAAATCCAAAAGGTTCAGACAATATTAGTCTTACCAAACAAAATCAAAACGTTTTCTTTCCAACTTTACTCACTGAATCATCTTCAGTCTTTTCCATGCTTTTATATAAACCTTACAACTCTACTATTTATTTCAAGAGAAATACTTTCTGGGGCCAGTAAATGTGAACTGAGTACAATATAAGGCTAGAAAGGATTATATAAAACAAACCACTTGAAGGATATCTATATTCTCTGCTGTTCCACCAGCCATGATATTCTGCAAATCTTTCTCCACACGCCTCACAAGCTCCGGCTTCAAATACATCACGATTATTATTTTATTAAACTCTGTGTCAGCTTTACATAAATCTAAACAACATAACTTTTAGTTTATTAAACTCCAAGTCAAGTCAAACACGGAGCATTAAATGGGAATGTAGGGACTAAAACATTAGGCCACAAAGAAAAGTACACTTCAAATTTGCTTGCTTACAGAAGAAGAACAAGGTCAGTCAGAGTTTTATATATAAAAAAAATGAGAGCAGCTTTACTCACATTTAGATCTGGCTCCCTGCGAAACCTTCGCCTCCGAGCATCTCTCATTGGAGGGGTGAGGCCATGTTTGTACTCCACTCCATCAGGGGCAAGATCACCTTCTTCCCTCACCAGAATCATCTATGAAAATAAATATTAAAAACACACGAGCAATAAGTAATGCACCACAGCTGTATACAGACAATAAGAGGAAAAGATTTGGATAAGTCATAAGTGTAATATGCCTTTGGACTACCTGACCAATATCTGCCGTTTTTATCAGCACACTATCATCATAAGTTTTGTAAGATTCTACTATACATGGAAGATCCAGGAGGGATGTAGGGAAGCGTTCATTTCCTATGACAAATGTGCCACTCCTACCATCCTCTACAAAACATCACCAAAAAAACAACTAACAAAGTATGAACAAGAATAATTATGAAGATATATGATGTAATGAATTACGTAGTATATTACTTAATGACACTGATAGGCATCATGTTTAATTTATAATTTGTAATTGTTCTGTTTCACTATCCACAACCTCACTGTAAACCTCAAAAGACGAAATCATATTTTTACATGGAGAATCGTATAATTACATCTAGAGGTTAGCATAAAGCCCATAGCATTAACTAAATCTTTAAAGCCAAATAGTTGACTAGAAATTGCAACTCAAAATTAATTCGTGTCAAAAGCTCCCAATATATTACAAAAACGCCATGTAAACTTGGGTGAGATGGAAAGATAAACACATAGATAAGCCGTAAGCATACCTGATATTGACAAATCCAACGCTTTGTCCTCTGAAGCATTCTCGCTTAGCAGGCGCTCGATTCGCTCAGTCACAGAAGGCGGAACCCTGAGTATGAATTGCTCCTCCATGTCTTAAGCTTTAAGTGAAATTTATATAAATTTATGACCGAACCAATCGTCGGGCTTGGCGGCTTGCGGAGATCAGGACAGATCGTCGACCTGGAGGCAAAGAGACATCTGCTGACATCTGGAGATCGCCGAGGTAAATAAGTTATCTTATTTTAAAATGTACTCCTTATTATATTAATAAAAGGAAAAAGGTACAAATATATCTCTCTCAGTATCAACTCAGAATCAAGGCCGTTTTTTAGGGGTTCAATAGGTTATCCAGAACAGGGCCTCAAAATTTACGGGGCCCCAAAATTTCAAAATTTTATTAGTATTATATAATACTCCATAATATTATACTACATATATTAATACTGATCAGTAAAACACAGTTAGTGAGGATGAAAAATATAGATTCACCATTTTTCCGTTGGTCATTTTAGTTTTCTTTACTCAAATTGCTTGAATAATGAGTTGTGTTGCTTTAAATCAAATATTAATTCAATTTTAGAAATTTTTTATTTCATTATTTAATGAGTATTCAATTAATTTAAGTATATGTATTTTGATTGAATTTTTTTTGATACTTTTTTATATTAATGTGGGGCCTCGATTTTACATTTGAAACCGGGGCCTCCGAATTCATTAGACGGCCCTGGTGAGAATAAATATATTTATGTACTGTTTTTTGGAATAAATATACCCCCGAAGTATATGATGAAATCATATATATCTTTGAACTTTTAAAAAGTGAAAAAATACTCCTCATATTCTTATAAAGGAGTAAATTTACACTTATTGACTTTTAATAGATAAAATAAATTTCAAAAAACACCAAAAATAAATTATAAATTCGAATTTTAAATATAAAGATTTATTAGTATGTTAAAATATTAACTCTTTAATTTTAAATATCTATACTAATATTTTTCTATTGTAAACGAAGAACTTCAAAATCATAAATAATAATTTCTATCTTGTTGCGAAATTTTGAACACTTTGTTAATTTTTTAAATAACACTCTTTGATTTTGTTTACCCTTAATAAAATTAAATTCACTATTTTGTGATCTTGGATTATTTATCATCATACAAAATATGTAATTTATAGTGCAGATAATGCAAAAAAATAATATATATTTCTACATTGCAACGCATATGTTAATTAACACTTTTTTGAAAGAATCTAAAATATACAATACAGTTTTGAAATAATATTTTATACTAACAATATTAAATTGTGATATAAAGATAATAAAAAGGGAGAAATATTGGACACAAGTACATTTTTATACAAGTAATATTTTATTTTTTATTTTTTATTTATAATTTATTTTTGGTATTTTTTGAAATTTATTTTGTTAATTTAAAGTCAATGAGGGTAAATTTGCTCCTTTATAAGGATATGAGGGGTATTTTTACAGTTTTTGAAAGTGCAGGGGTATATATGCACTTCAACATATACTTCAGGATATATTTGTTCTGAAAAATAGTACTCCCTTCGTCCCATAAAATAAGTCTCATTTCAATTTGGATCGGAGTTTAAGAAAGTGGGAATAAAGTGGAAATGTATGATTGTGGTTGAGTAAGAAAAAGGTAAATGAATGTTAGCCACACAAAACTTTCCAAAAAAGAAAATGGGAACAATTTTTTGGGACGGCCCAAAAAGGAGTAAATACGAGATCTGGAGCGACAAAGTAAGATGGTTAGATAGGTTATTGGTGAAGCGTGAGATACTGAGATCTCAAATACTCCGCACTACTTAACTTTTTTAAACAACTACAAAATCGGACATGAGTATAACCCATGTGAAAAGTAAATCCCAATATTTATAAAAAGTACCCCGTTTTTTTTGTTAACATCAGGCCATACTACAACCGAAGTGGAATAGTTTGTTAAATTGTAAAATATACCCCCGAATTTGCATTTCAGATCGGTTAAAAGAGCAACCGATGTAAAATATACCCCCGAATTTGCATTTCAGATCGATTTGTAAAAATTATAAAACTAACCCCATGCCCCTATTCCACATGGGTTGTGAGATAACACATGTGAAAAGCATGATGTAAAAAGGTCTTTTTGTACTAGTGATGGGACTTATTTTATAGGACGGAGGGAGTACAGGGATATACTCCGTATTTGTTTTCACACTCATAGTATAGTGGTATATTTGTACTTTTTCCTTAATAAAATGATGAAGGAAAAGAACTTAAATAACTTCAACCATCTTACCTGCAAAAAAAGGTAGTTAGAATTTTCGTTACCGAATTGTTTTTTCCAACCATCTTACCTTTTTTTCAACCATCTTACCTAAAATATACGGAATGTTTCGTTAATAAAATAAAGAAAGAGTATATAAATGGTAGATTCTATGGTACCCATAAGTTACCATAGAATTGTTCATCTATAAAGAAAGAGTGTTTTTATTATTACACAATTTAGTGTGTAAAATCAAAATTTACATACTACGTATTCAATTAAAATCAAGTTACAGAAGGGACATGTAGGAGAAGTGTGAAACAAGTTACTCCATCAATTCTCGAGTAGCTTACACATTTTTCTTTTGAGATTTTTATAAGTATTGAACTTATGTTTCCATTTTAGAGTCTCATGCTCATTTTTCATATTCTACTTCATACAATTTTCATTTTTTCTTCTTTTCTTCTCTTTTTCAATTTTCCTCCTGTGTTACACATTTCAACCTTAATTAGTATTCCTTAATATGTTTCTTAATCTATGCAAAATAACTAATGTATTGAAGATTGAGTGTCACTCCTTTCTTCAATAGTTGACACATATCCCCTTTTTAATTCTTTTTCATCATTTTGACCAATTTGCATGTTTTGAAAATTTTATCCTACTTTATCATATATTGTGTTTTCTAATACTTACATACTTTTCGATTTTTGTTATCTTTCTACTTTTTACTACCCTCTTTCATACTCCCTCCATAACATTTATATCTTCTTACTTTCCTTTTTCAGCCATAATATTCACGTCTTCTTATTTCTAAGTCTCTCTATCACATCCTCAATAATTTTGAACATAATACACTATTACAACTTTTTTTAAAAATTTATCCTTCATTCCAACAAACTATTACATTATCTTCCATCATACTCTCAATAATATATACTCCCTCCGTCCCTTAAAGGTTTGCCAAGTTTGACCGGCACGTAGAATAATAAAGTAAAAACTATGTGATAGATATTTGTGCAGAGGAGAGAGAAATAACAAGAACTACAAATTGATTAACTAAAATGGAAAGTGGCAAAGTTTTTGGGACAACCAAAAAAGGAAAGTTGGCAAAGTTATAAGGGACGGAGGGAGTATTTGATTTCACTATTCATAATTTCATCTACTTTTAAATGAGAAGATATGAATATTTTTCTACTTTTTCTTCTTTACTTCCACGTCCTTTCTATCCCTACTATCTTTGATCTCCCTCAAAAATCAAGTATGTCAAAATGCTTTTTATATATTTAAGGCTAATGAGAATTAATTTGTTGAGCTATTAATGACATATTGACATACAATTCTTATTATTGAATATTTTCTAAGATTGTTTCATCTTTTATTTTCGCTCTGTTTCACAAAGAGTATCTAATATCAAATTTGATAAAATTTGTTTGATTCTATATCTTTAATTTTATTCTTACTTGATCGATCAATATCAAACACATGAATTCATTTTTTTTAATAATTACCCTTTGGGTCACGTCCCGTGGATGAAGCCGCTAAGTCACACTATTTTATTTGGATTGGGCCCTGATCTAACTGCCTGATACGGACAGTTGATACGGTTGAAGGAATCAAATTAAAAAATTGTCAAACTTCCCACGCACCTCTCTTTCGCTCTCCCACTCTTTGCGCCGGAGGGAAAATTCAGAACACCACTCTTTCTCTCATCAATCTTCGCCCTGTTCTCTCGAACCAGGTGATCGACGAGCATCGATATGTTTAAGGTGACGCGATTCGTCAATGCCCGTATTTAATCACTAACCTAGGCCTTCCTTCTTCGCCTTTCTCAATGTCAATTGTCATGTATATGGATATCTGATCGCCGCGGAATTCTTATGCTTGTTTCATTTCTGACGATTTAATGTTATCTTTCGCGTTTTTTAGATTGCTCAAATGGAATATTTTTTGTGCGATCAGAACATTGTTTCTTAATGTAGACACGTTTGTTTATAGAGAACCCACAAAAACTTCCTTTATATGTTTATGCCTTGCTTCTTTTCCTGCATATTTGTTCTTGAATTTATTTTACAGCTGGCAGGTTGTTGAGGGTTACAAGTGAATAGCAGCCTACCCTCTTGGATGGTAGCAGCATATCGGCAGAGCCATGAGTGGAACATCTTCAAGTATGTTTTTTAATCTAAGCATATTCGGATACATGTTGTTTACTGCTTGCTTGCCACTAGAGTTGTTGTTCATGGTGCACTGAATGGTATCGTTGGGCTTTGCCTTTTGTACACCAAGGTGTATACAAACATAATTTTGTGTGCACCGACATGGTACAGCTAGTACATATTTCTGTCGAAAATCGCAGCATATGTCATCATCATCATTACCCTAGTGCCGCAAAGGCTCCCCTTGTAATCGCAGCTTATGTTTGTTAACAAAAAATGGTATTGGTGTACACCTTTCTTGTTGTATAAATAATTTTTCTCTGTTATACTATGGTTAACCTTCACATATTTCTTGCCACAAAAAAGAAGAAAAAACATTAGCTTAGAAAAATGCTACAAAAGTTATTTTGTTTGAAAATGATGCATTCATCTGAAGTTGTAACACTGTCTCAAACAAGAATACAATGGGGTCAGTTTTGCTTGAAGATCATTTAACCTTTGCATATAGAAGGGTATATGTATGCAGTCATTTTATATAGTCAGTTTCATATAACGATCACTCGAGTTTCCAAACAAATTTCTACCTCCATACCATGGTTCTCGAATTTTACTGCATACTTTGGTATATATTCTTAAGCCCATTAAGTTTATCTTTATCAATTGAATTTTAAACAGATAAAAGAAGATTAAAGGAGCTTTTGCTACAAAGTGATAATCGTGTGTGCGCTGATTGTGGTGCTCCAGATCCTAAATGGGCGTAAGTTACAGCATCTGGATTTCTACTTATCTTTTTTATGATAACAATTTATGGTTTTCAGAGGATTAGGACATATCATTACCCTTTATCTTGCATGTGTTTTAAATGGTTTGGTAGCAAGGCAATAAGGCATTATGTTGGAGTTTACTTTTGTTACTTCTAAAGGTTCATATTCTCTTTAATTGGTGAAACACATCCTATGAGGGGAAACCTTATTATGTGTCTTCAAAATCTCCAAATGGTTTGGTGGCCGGCTTGGCACCTTGCGTCTCAGGGCCTCAGGGTTTAAGCCTCTGCCGCGTTTTCCATTCCTTTCTAAAAACCATTCTAATTAAGGATACTACAGGGATGCTTCTCTAGCCTGCTATTTTGTTAGATTCTGGTATTACAGACTCCAATTACAGTAGATTCAAAGAGAGATTAACAGAGAACAAGATCAAAATGAGATTTATTGAAGAAGAAGAAAATAGCGAACGTATACAAGCCTAGGACGATTCGAGATGCCCAGTCTCCAAAGTCTAAGTCCAACCAAATGACAGCCTCCTTATTTTCCTCCCCTCCTCTTCTATTTATACTATTACATGTACACTTACTATTATTATTATTATTATTTCTATTAATAGCCTACTAAGCTAGATTCCTATCATTACTCCCCCCGTAAACAACCACCTTGTCCTCAAGGTGGGTGATAGGAATCAGCCTTGACTATCAATTTTATCTTCATCCGAGCGCCTCTCCCTTCCCAGTACAACATTGCGTTCTGTATCTTTAGCTTCAACACTCGAGCCATCCTCTTTACCTCCACCCTTGCATGAATGAGCCGAGGCAATGACACTGTTGGGTCCTGCTCCCCTGCTTTGTCACTCAGGAAGACATCCATAAACCTAATGATAAAAACAATCCCAACCTCCTGTTTGGATTGCCAACGAAGAGAGCTACAGGTACAGATTACTTGTTGAATAGCTTCACAATGAATATTCAGTACTTCCCTCAATGTTCTGATAGCTGTGATTCCCTTCACAGTTTCTTGTTTTAAAAATAGATCCACGAGGTACCCTATCTGGGAGACATCAATCACAACCGCTTGAATTGTAGGATCCAGTTCCACATTGATTCCACCCGAATGATATTCAAAATCACTCTCATCAGCCCCTCTCAGTCCAGGATCTGAGGAGCCCCAGATGAGAAGCTTGTCAATCCTGTTTTCTGATAGAACGCTTTCTTGCATAATTGAAACATCAGTTGAAGAGCATAATGACTGCTGCATTGACACTGTCAGTTGACCAATTTCATTATTAACCGAGTCCTTGGCATAAAATACCAAATTGCAACCTTTAACATCAATAACCGAAAACTGGTAAATTTCAAAACCAGGTTTCAAGCTATACTTCCTTAACCCAGCAAGATTACTATGATCGTATAAATGTCCAGGAAGAATCATTCTTTTCAAAAAGATTGGAGCCTCATGAGTAACTAGATCGATGGTTCCAGAAATAACCTTTCCCGGTTTAACCAATTCCATTTCGGACAACCTTATCGGTCTTGTTGTACTGCAGTTGATTCGACTTGCTGTAGGGATAGACCTGACCTCTCTGCACTTAACAACTTGCTCATCATGATACCTTGAGTTTATTTCAGAGCTAGGATCTACTCCAAACTCAGACCGTGGACCCAAACCTTGCCCCCCATTGTAGATTCGAACAAAGCAACCCTGCTTTTCAATCTTCATCCCTCCCTGTGCGATTCCCCTAGCAATTTCAGCAGCCTTTCTGGCATCAATAGTGGTTTCCGAGCCAGCATAAACTGCTGCAGATTCTTTCACTTCATCAGGTTTCCATTCTGAAAGTGGACTCCTGTCAACCAACACCTTACAATTTTCAAAGTAGCAACCTAACTGTTGGTTTGGAATTTCCAGAACCTCAACAACTTTATCCCCAGAACCTATACACGTCTCATGATCTGCATATTTCTTCAGAATGTTCCCCTCATCTATTTTCTCAATTTCCTCATCAATTGACTTTAATTCGATATTCATTATCGAATGTGTAGTCTCCAACAATCTAATTCCAGGATCAGTAATGTATATGGCTCTAGAAGAAGAAGAAATTTTCGCAGGGGAATGAACCTCTTGGGACAAAACTTGCGCAGCTGGCGACACGACTTGCGAAGAAGAAAATTCTTGTCTCGGTAGCGTCGCATTCTGACGCGAGTGGATAGCCGATGGGAACGCCTGCGGCGTGAAATGCGAACTGAGAGTGTGAGTTTGCGATTGTGAGCTGGTAATTGGGGTTCGCGACTGCAATCTTGTTTCACTTGAAGAAGAAGTTTGCGAGTGTGATTGCGAAGACTTCTGCGAACGTATGAGGAATTCCGATGATGGACTGTAAGAACAAACAGTATTTCTTGGCGAAGATTCTTGCGAACTGGAATGATACGTGAGTGTCGAACTGTGCGACCTATGAGAAGTTGTTCGCGGCTGAGAATAGCCCTGCGCAAGCGATGAGGTTTGCGAATTAAGCAAAACTGTTCGCGATCTTCTTCTTGCCTGTAAATGTTCTTCCATAGCAGCTAGCTTTCTCGCGAGGTTATCCAGCTTTAACTTCACCTCTTGCTGATTCCGCTCCAGCGAATCCATGCGCTGATCCATTTTACCTCTAACTCTAACCATCCACCTTCGAATGAAAAAAAAATCTGGATTCAGATACTTCTCCGATCAATCCTGAAGTCGCCAGGAGCTTAATGCTCTGATACCAATGTTAGATTCTGGTATTACAGACTCCAATTACAGTAGATTCAAAGAGAGATTAACAGAGAACAAGATCAAAATGAGATTTATTGAAGAAGAAGAAAATAGCGAACGTATCCAAGCCTAGGACGATTCGAGATTCCCAGTCTCCAAAGTCTAAGTCCAACCAAATGACAGCCTCCTTATTTTCCTCCCCTCCTCTTCTATTTATACTATTACATGTACACTTACTATTATTATTATTATTATTTCTATTAATAGCCTACTAAGCTAGATTCCTATCATATTTCAAACCTTACATGGGTATGTAGACTACTGAATTGCAAGCTCAAGGGAACTGGCAGTTGATTATCATTCTACTTTATATATATATATATATATATATATATGTGCTCGCTGAGAATAGGGGTCTATAGTGCATTCTGTATCAAATATTGCCTCATTGTCTGCAGCTGTAATTAAAAGCAAAGTAGCCAAACTAATGAAGAAATATGTTGTCTTTTGATTTTCTCTTTATCAATAGTTGGGATTTTTACAGTTATCATTATTCAGTCTCTCTTTTGAGATGCTCATAATTGATTCTGCTCTTTCAGATCAGCAAATATTGGTGTTTTCATATGCTTGAAGTGCTGTGGTGTGCACAGAAGCCTTGGCACCCATATCTCAAAGGTAACCACTGTTATTTCCACCAATCACCTTAACTTCTTTTTGTTCATAGAAAGAACCAATGGTAGATGACATTATGATGTCTCAGAGAACCAACTAACAGCTGTACCACTTCCTTTTATTACCAGAAGTATTATACTCCCTCCGTCCCAATTTGTAAGACACTTTACGGTTTACGATGTTTCACCGACGATAAAGCAAATTGATCCCTGTCAACACTCAAATTCGTTTTACTTTAATAAAATTTACATATTCAGAAACTACATTAAAACTGCTACAAAACCTGCAAAAAATAATTCAAATTTCATAAACTTTTGATATGTGAAGTAAAAGATTAAGAGTGATTTATGTTAACCAAGTGAATAGTAAATGTATCTTACAATTTGGGACTGAGGGAGTACAAACCTATATTTCTGGCTATTATATCTAATCTCTCTATGTCTGGACTACTCTGGATTTAGACCTTACAAGCTGAAACAACTGGACTTTGAAAGATTGACGAAATTCATTGTGGAATGTTACTTGAATTTATTTTGTACTTTCTTGAGGGAATTCATAAGCCACAAAGTTAGAAAGGGTTAGGAATATTGTACACACAGTTTAGTATCCTCATACCAACTAGCTGCTCTAGACTGCTACACATTCTCTTGTAATGAGTTCTTCAAAGATTTCCAATGTGCACATGAACATGCATAAGTCAACTATTGTTTCTTTTTGGATGGTAAATGACTTTCTCATTGCTACTCTTTTTAACATTGAAGAATATTTCTTCTTTTAATCCAATAGGTTTTGTCTGTGACGTTGGATGAATGGTCAGATGAGGGGATTGATGCGATGATAGAGGTAGGAGGAAATGCATCTGCCAATTCAATCTATGAAGCTTACCTCCCGGATGGAATTTCTAAGCCTGGTCCAGATGCAAGCCATGAACAGCGTGCTAAGTTTATCAGGTTAGATCAGATAAAAATGCTGTCATTGATCCATATAGTCATTCACTGCAGTTGTAATACAAAATCTCATCAGGTCACTATTCTTCCTAATACTGGAGTACTGGACTCATGAATATTGTGTCAAATGCCTCACAGTGAAAGTATAGCTTCACGATGATGTCTGTAAAAGTATAGCATTTTCGTCAATGAAACAAAATTATTCTTCAAGATCAATGCCTGGTCTGTATACTACTCTAAAAGTCCAAGTATAAAAAAACACCAGGAAATAACTTATGTAGTATATAAGATGTTTAAAAAGAGCTGAAACATTATATTCGGAACGGGTGAATATTTAAGCACTGAACTGACAAAACAGAATTGCAGTTCCGCAGCTGCTGTATGGCTCTTATTAGCACTTAATAGTAGGAGAAAGAGGATAGAATTTCCAAGAACACCGCCACATTTAAGTGATGTATGCTGGTTAATTCAACAGAGTGCTTCCAGTCGTATCTAGTTTTAACATTCTTAATAAGGGTCATATACACCAACCACTAAACGCAATGCTTTTGATGTTAGTGACACTCTAATGATGTAATCTATTTGCAGGTCTAAGTATGAGCTTCAGGACTTCTTAAAACCTAGCTTGCGTATCATGTCAGCTCCAAAGAAGTCCTCCCTCCAAGCAAGTTTATCTAGGAAGATCATGGATACGTTTCGGAGTTCAAGTTCCCACATAACTGTAAGTTATAATAACATCGGGTAACCACATCCGCTGAACTTAGACCTTAAATGTAATTCCTCTTGGTGAGTTGAAACTATTGTTGTCATTTACATAGACGTGTATGAGGTTGTTGTTTAACTGAAGGATGTGTAGTGTTTAACTAGTGTGATGCAGGCTAGCATTAAATTTCATTCTGTTTTCCCAATAACTTGCACAAAGCCAACACTGGATTTGGTTGGTCACAGGAAGGCATGGTAGAATTCATTGGAATGGTGAAAGTCAAAGTGCTAAAAGGGACAAACTTAGCAATCCGAGATATGCTTTCAAGTGATCCATATGTTGTCTTGACTCTTGGCCATCAGGTTAGTGTATGCATCTGCTGTTATGGTTTATGGGGACAGTGCCACCAACGCTGAACATATGCATTTTTCTCTTCGGCACTGTATTTTATAAATAAAAATGGGCCACATTTTTCTGAACATATGCATTTTTCTCTTCTGATGTAAAAGTTAGTGTCTCTACTCTTCGGCACTGTATTTTATAAATAAAATGGGCCACATTTTTCTGAAGATCTTTCCATGGACATGTTTAAGAAATAAATCTTTTTCTAATAATTTTGCTTTCAGTCTCTTAACCATAGTCCATATTAGTCTTTTTCTGCATTAGGTCTGGCCCTGTAGGGGAATGCACATCTGGGTCATACCATATTCACCACATATTTACATTATCTTTTTGGGATCCTGAATTCCCATGTCTAAAACATGAGCTACAATCTTTATTGTCTCAATAAACAAAACAAAAAAACAGCATTTTCCAAGTACGGGAGCCAGACTTCATACCCTTTTAATTTGCTTAATGATGATATGATTTTTCGTTAAACAAACAGTACACCTAGAACGGGAAAGATAAATAACAGTTGAGCTCAAAAATCTCAAATCAAGTATTGTATTCAAATGTCATTGATGTTTGTATATCTTATAGAAAGTGCAAACCACTGTTATGAGGAGCAACTTGAATCCAGTTTGGAACGAAGAACTCATGCTTTCTGTTCCTCAAGATTACGGATCAGTGAAGTTGGTAATACTTCATTTCTTATACACATGCACACGCTCACTCCCAGTATCTTTGTTGTGTTTCAATTCCAAATCATATCATCCTTTCTACATATAAACTTTGTAGTTGTTTTAAATTTGACTATAATCCTCTTAATTGTTTAACTACCATATGCAGCAAGTTTATGATTATGACACATTCTCCGCGGATGACATAATGGGGGAGGCTGAGATTGATATACAGCCGATGATTACTTCAGCTATGGCATTTGGAAACGCTGGAATGTTTGGCGACATGCAGATAGGTAAATGGCTAAAATCTCATGATAATGCACTAATTGAGGATAGTTTCGTCAACATTGTTGATGGGAAGGTCAAACAAGAAGTATTATTGAAGCTGCAGAATGTAGAGTCCGGTGAAATTGGTCTAGAAATAGAGTGGATTCCTCTTGATCAATAGGTGTGTGTAATGATTCCACTGGATCATAATAAGTGATTCAGTACGAGTTTATATATTTTCAGAATTTTGAATCCAGATACTGTTTCATGATTATTGTGTACTGTGTAATTTGTAAATTTGAGTATAACCTCATACGGAGTATTTTGTAGGGGAATGATTATAATCATTTGTGAATTTGTAATATTTGATGTAATAAATATTATTTGAATGCACAAGAGCACAAATAACAAAGAAGACATTAATGTCTGGAAATATATGTATTGAATAGGTGGCTTCTGTTTTTTTGTAGTTGATGAACGTGAGAGTTGTTTCTCCTAATTTCCTATAGTAATCTTATTTCGTTTATCGGTTTGTGAATCAAATAAATTTTCACACTTAACAATCAATACATAACTAATAGGAAAAAATACAAGAGACTAAAGTAATCTAGTGAAGTATGATTTGCATTAGAGAAAACTATAAAGGTTGGTAAGATCCAATTTCAAATAAGTATCAAAGTTTTTAATCTCAACAAAAAAATTAAAGGGTGGAGATTGAAGTTTATAAATGTTACCCGAGGATGACACAAAAGCCCAAGTTGAAAATGTGTTAGATCCCCTAATAAGTTTATAAATGTTACCTTTGAGACTTTGAGTTGGGACAAATTGATGTGGAGACGTGTTCTACACTTCTACCACACTTATGAGCCCGTTTGGTAGCACGAAAATGGGCTCTTTTGGCTGATTCTGCTGAAATTTATGAAGTTCTGGCTGAAGTGGCTGCATTGCCTGATTCTGCTGATACAAGAAAAAAATATTTTTAAAATATATTTTATTAATAAAATAAAGAAAAAATTATATGTAAAAATAGCTAAAATGATCATCTACAGTAACTTCAGCCAATACAGCCAGAAAAGTAACTTCAACCTTACTTTTTCGGCTTATTACACAATTCAGCGCGCGAAAGCAAAGTTTACGTGTTTGGTAAAAAAGTTGACTGATAAGCCTGATAAGCCGAAAATGAGGGTTGCCAAACGGCCTCTATGAGGACATTGAGTTTGAGTGAACGATATTAGAACATCGTAAACATTGAATTTGAGTGAACGATATTAGAACATTTACGATGTAAAACCGTGAACGGTGCACATTGAACTTTGCACCCCGTAATATGAGGGATAACCAATTAAAAAGGGGTAATTAGAATTCGCATCCCATATTATTGTCCAAATTGGACTGTGCACTCATATTAAAAAATTTTATTTGCACCTCAGCTCCGCGTGAAAGGACACAAATGCCCCTCCATTAACAATTTTGTTGGCCTACAACACATTCCTGATCAAGGGGCATTTTGTCTCTTCATACGGGGTTGGGATGCAATACAAAGGTTTTTAAACATGGGATGCAAAGTCCAATTTGGACAATAAAAAAGGGTGTAAATTCAAATTACCCCATTAAGAAATAACAAATAAAATACTTCTCCTTATTTGAACGATCTTATTTGTTTTCGTTGAGAAAAATTTACCCAAACCACATACGCCTGTGGAAAGAAGGAGAGAGAAATGTCATAAATTTAATCATTTGTATATCTCTCATATGTCACATGTGCACCGTGCACATTATAGCATTGGAGATGCTCTTAGAGATCTCACCGTGTGCACGTTATAGCACATTATAACATTACTAGCATCAACTTCTCTCATGTGCCATAGGGATGGACTCGTGTCGGTCTGGTCCCAGTTTCGGGTCAAGGCTAACCGAGTACCCGACCGCTTTTTCTGGTTCTCGGCTGATTCTGAATACTCGATCGGTCCAATTCCGGTTCCCGTTTATTATTATTTTGTTTAACTTTTTTGGCCACACGAACTCTAAATAAAACAAGTCGGGACTGAAATCGTAACCATACGACTCAGCCCCAAAAATTGTAAACCGGGACCGTGAACCGCTCTAAGGCAGGCCAGTTCATTCCCAAGCTCGAAACCACTGTAAACGAACCCGGTCCGACCTCAAACACCGCCGAACCAGTTTCATGCCTAATGTGCCACAATCAACAAATCAACTTATAAAAACATATGTTTCTTTTCTATATGTGATAGATTGGGATTATTCTCCCCAAATATATTATTGAGATGTTTTGAAACATGATACAATCAATTATAATTAACTTTGTTCCTATAAAAAACACTCGGTAGTACGCTAACCCGAGTCGGGTCCGGGCCGGGTCCGGGTCGGGCCTAGGCCCGGGCGGGCCGGCGGTTCAAGAATGGTGGACCCGGGACCGGCCCGGGTAGCCACCGGGTCCGATCCGGGTCCGGGCCAGGCCGGGCCGGGCCTCCGGTTTGGATTTTTTTTTTGCTTTCCTAACCCCCCCCCCCCCCTCACCCCCACCCTCCCAAACCCCCCCAAACCCATCCTACCCATCAAGCCCAATCCGGGTGGAACCCCAAAAATGAAAAAAAAATGAAAAAAATTCAATTTGGTCCTGGCCCGGGCCCGACCCGGCCGGGCCGGTTCACCAAAATTGAGACCCGAGCCCGAACCCACCCTACCCCCCGGGCCTAGGCCCGACCCGGACCCGAGAACCGGGCCGGTCCCGGTCCCGCACAGTAGCGGGCTGGGCCGGTCCACGGGCCGGGTGGCCCGACCCGAGTCCAAGCCTAATGCTAGGGAGAGATCCTCAAGTCTAAGAGGCGAGAATATACATTGTACTAGGGGTGGACCGGGCCCGGCCCGGGCCGGACTCCAAGCCGGGATTGGGCGGTACTGGGATTTCGGGTTGCAGGTTAGGTACCGACCCAGGTTTGTACCAGGACTGGTCCGGACCCGGGTCTAGCCGAGACCGGGTCGGACCAGGCAAATTTTATTTATTTTTTTAAAAATGGCTTTTCGAATTTATTCCTACCCCCCCCCCCCCCCCAAACCACCCAGTCCCACCCGCCTAGCAACCTATTAATTGCAAAAAATTAAAAAAAATGGGCACGGACCGATTCTGGACCAGTCGAGCCCCAGACCCAGTCTCGATACCGCCCGACCGGGCGGGTCTAGGCCTAATCAGTGGCATGATCGGGCCAGGCTCGGGTCGAACCGAGCCAGGCTCGGGTCGATCCGACCTATCTCGGTCCATCCCTATATCAAGGTATATGGTCAGCATTTAGCAATATCAAGTGTTGCTATAACTTACGTAGTACAATTTAAAAAACCTATAAAATGATAAATTAGTACAAAGTGAACGTAGGGATGGACTGGGCCGGGCCGAACTGAACCGGCCCGCTACTGTGCGGGCCCAGATCGGATGGCCGATTCCGGGCTTTAGCACGGGTTGGGCAGGCTTGGCGGGCCAGGCTTGGGCCCTTTTTTTCTTGAACCGGCACGGGCGGTCCGGGCCGGACCCGGGTCATTTTTTTGTTTTCAATTTTTTTTTCTTTTCCTAGGGTAGGTTAGGGTGTTTTGGGGAGGTTTGAGGGGTGGGTCGTGGGGGTCAGGGGTTAATTAGAAAGCAAAACAAAAACATTGGACCGACCCAATTCGGCCCGGACAGGTTTAGCCCAAACCCGATATCACCCCGGCCCACAGACTCCTACTACTCCAATGAAGGCCCAATAGGCCCAGGAAGCACAACAGGCCCAAATCACGACGCCCAAGGCACCAAGCAGCCCACCACGCGCACCAGGGGTGCCTTCGGCCCCATGGCCGAAGGCTCTAATTCCCACAGGAGGGCCAAAACAGGAAAACAAAGTTACTGGGAAAAAACGGCGAATATCAGTAGCCCTCGGTAACTGGAGCCCTCGGCACTAAGGGGGTCCCCGGTACTCAGAGCCCTCGGCTAGTCATCTACAGCCGAGGGCACCTTTCCCGACATAATATCCGCTCCACATGCGTATGGATCACCGTACCCTGTACAACGTCCCATCCAACAGCCGCATTAAATGCGGCCACATGCAGTTGCCAGTGCCAACCGATTGAGGTGACCTCTCGGCCAATGGACGCTTGACACGTGTCCCTGTCCGGCATTTATTGCTACTATAAATAGCACCTCATTTCCCCATTTGTAACCACGCTGAAAACACTGAACACTTTCTAATACACTTTCTCTCTCTATACTTACTTGCTCTGACTTCTCTCTTGTTATTCCCCGCAATAACCCCTCGGATAAGCTACCCCCGGGTACACTTTCCATCATTTGGTGCTCTCGTTGAGAGGTCGAACAATCAAGTAAGAAACCCTCCCCCTCGACCAAACACAAAACACCCATTTAAAATGGTGAGAACAACTCGTGCCAACTCCAAGAATGTAGAGGACAGGAACCTGGCCCTCGGCGAGGTCGACGTCCCCGAGGCCTCTAACAGGGCTCCCGGGGCGGCGTCATCGTCGGGTTGGACCAGACGCCTGTCGACCTACGCCAGCAGATTCAACAAAATGCCCCCGATGCCCGTCTCGGCATCGAGGCCAAGAAAAAGGACCGGAGCGAAAACCAAATTAGCCCTCCGGTCATCACCATCGACGTACAATCGGCGCTCTCCGCCTTCATCCAGACGCTCACCCAGAACCCGGGTGCCTTCGGCACTTTGGTTCCCCTCCAACCTCGGGTGGGGGAGAATATTATGCCTCCCCCTCATCCACGACCCCTCGGGAACCCGGTCCTCCGGATGGGGAACTCCGAGGGGGTCGTGGCCCAAGATACGGCCTCCCAGGAAGTCCAGTCCTGGGACCGCCAAAACGTGAACAAGGAACTACTCCGGACCTCCGCCCTCGAGAGACTCGGAGGTGCGCAAGAACGCCAAGGGGTCCAAGACCACCTCGGGGGGAAGGCGTTCCAAAGGCCTCAGGAAAGTGGCGGGTCCGTCTCCAGGGCCAATGAAAGGCGTCCCCCTCAGGACAAGGGCAAGGCACCTCTCCATGCCGACGACGCACGCCACCAGATCAACCAGGCCCACTCGGCCCGGGCCCATTCGAAGGGGGGCGGAGGCCCTCCCGAAGGACCTCCGGGACGAAATCATCGCGGCCCTCCAACGCCGGCTTGACGAGATGGAGGCCACCAAAGCCCAAGCCACCACTTCTGGCCCTCATACAGACCTTAAGTATGAGGCGATGATGGCCAAGATGGAAGAAATGCAGAAGAAGATAGACGAGGTCTCCGGGGAACCCACCATACAGCTCCGGACCCGGACACCATTTACCCCAAGGGTATTGGCGGCCCGGATCCTGGAAAAATACCGAGGGCAGCTCATCAAGCCCTATGACGGAAAGACTGACCCCCAAGAGC